GGCTCACCTAAAAGCCCTAGGGGGAAAAAAAAACAAAAAAAACAAAAAACAGACACACCAAAGAGGAAGAGACGGCTGGAAATAATCAAACTCAGGGCTGAAATCAATCAATTAGAAACAAATAAAACAATTCAAAGAATCAATGAAACCAAGAGCTGGTTCTTTGAGAAAATCAACAAGATAGACAAGCCCTTAGCCAAACTAACTAAAAGGCAAGGAGACACTATCCAAATCAACAAAATCAGAAATGAAAAGGGGGACATAACAACAGACACTGAGGAAATCCAAACAATCATTAGGACTTACTTCCAAAGTCTATATGTCACAAAATTTGAAAATCTAAATGAAATGAACAATTTTCTGGATCAATTCCACTTACCAAAGCTGAATCAAGATCAGGTAAATCAATTAAATAGTCCTATATACCCTAAGGAAATAGAAGCAGTCATCAAAAGTCTCCCATCCAAAACAAGCCCAGCACCAGATGGTTTCAGTGAAGAATTCTACCAGACCTTCAAAGAAGAGCTAACAACAATTCTCTTCAAACTATTCCACAAAATAGAAACAGAAGGAACACTACCAAACTCATTCTATGAAGCCACAGTCACCTTGGTACCTAAACCACACAAAGACTCAACAAAGAAAGAGAATTTCAGGCCAATCTCCCTTATGAACATTGATGCAAAAATACTTAACAAAAATACCTACAAACCTAATACAAGAACACATCAAAGATATCATCCACTATGACCAAGTAGGCTTCATCCCAGGTATGCAGGGGTGGTTCAATATGCGGAAGTCCACCAATGTTATTCACCATATTAACAAACTGAAAGGAAAAAAAATCACATGATAACCTCTAAGATGCTGAAAAAGCATTTGACAAAATCCAACATCCAGTCATGTTTAAATTATTGGAGAGATCAGGGATACAAGGCACATACCTAAACATAGTAAAGGCAATATATAGCAAGCCTATAGCTGACATCAAACTAAATGAACAGAAACTTAAATCAATCCCATTGAAATCAGGAAAAAGGAAAGGATGCCCATTCTCTCCATATCTCTTCAACATAGTTCTTGAAGTCCTTGCTAGATCAATAAGACAATTGAAGGAGATCAAGGGGATACAAATGGGAAAGAAAGAAGTCAAAGTATCACTATTTGCAGATGATATGATAGTATACATGAGTGACCCCAAATATTCTACAAGGGAACTCCTACAGTTGATAAACACCTTCAGCAAAGTGGCCAGATAAAAAATTAATTCAAAAAAATCAGTAGCCTCCTGTATACAAAAACAAAAGGGCTGAGAAAGAAATTAGGGAAACAACACCTTTCACAATAGCCACAAAGGACATAAAGTACCTTGGTGTGAACCTAACCAAGCAAGTCAAAGACTTGTATGAAAAAAAATTTCAAGTCTCTGAAAAAATAATTAGAAGAAGATATGAGAAATTGGAAAGATCACCCATGCTCATAGCTTGGCAGGATTAACATAGTAAAAATGGCCATCTTACCAAAAGCAATCTACAGATTTAATGCATTTCCCATCAAATTACCAACACAATTCTTTACAGACCTTGAAAGAAAAATTCTCAACTTCAGATGGAATAACAAGAAACCCAGAATTGCTAAAACAATCCTCTACAATAAAAGATCTTCTGGAGGTATCTCCATCCCTGATCTCAAGCTGTACTATAGAGCAACAGTTATAAAAACTGCATGGTACTGGCATAGAAACAGAATGGTGGATCAATGGAACCGAACAGAAGACCCAGAAATAAACCCACACACTTAGGGATAACTGATTTTTTTACAAAGATGCTTAAACCATACAATGGAAAAAAGACAGCATCTTCAACAAATGGTGCTGGTCTAACTGGATGGCTACATGTAGGAAAATGCAAATAGATCCTTACTTACCACCCTGCACAAAACTAAAATTCCGAGTGGATCAAAGACCTCAACATAAAAACAGACACACTAAAGCTGTTAGAAGAAAACGTGGGGTAGAGCCTGGAATTCATTGGCACAGGAGACAACTTCTTGAACAGAACACCAACAGCACAGGCTCTAAGAGCAACAATCAATAAATGGGGCCTCATGAAACTGAAAAGATTCTGTAAAGCAAAGGACACTGTCGTCAGAACAAAACAACTACCTACAGATTGGGAAAGAATCTTCACCAACCCTATATCTGACAAAGGGCTAATATCCAGTATATATAAAGAACTAAAGAAGTTAAAAAGCAACAAATTAAGTAATCCGGTTAAAAATTGGGAAACAGAACTAATCAGAGAATTCTCGATAGAGGAATATCGAATGGCAGAAAAACACTTAAAGAAATGCTCAACCTCATTAGCCGTCAGGGAAATGCAAATCAAAACAACCTTGAGATTTCACCTTACACCCATCAGAATGGCTAAGATCACAACCTCAAGAGACAACACATGCTGGAGAGGTTGTGGATAAAGGGAACCGTCCTCTACTGCTGGTGGGAATGTAAACTTGTACAACCATTCTGGAAATCAATCTGGCGCTTTCTCAGACAACTAGGAATAGCTCTTCCTCAAGATCCAGCCAGACCACTTCTAGGCATATATCCAAAAGAGGCTCAAGTACACAGTAAGGACATTTGCTCAACCATGTTTGTAGCAGCTTTATTTGTAATAGCCAGAAGTTGGAAACAACCAAGATGCCCCTCAACTGAGGAATGGATACAGTAATTGTGGTATATCTACACAATGGAATACTACTCAGCAATAAAAACCAAGAAAATTGTGAAAATTGCAGGTAAATGGTGGGAGCTGGAAAAGATCATCCTGAGTGAGCTATCCCAGAAGCAGAAAGACACACACGGTATATACTCACTCATATAGACATATAATATAGGATAAACCTACTAAAATCTGTACACCTAAAAAAATTAATCAAGACAGAGAACTCTGGCTAAAATTCTCAATCCCCATCCAGAAAGGCAAAGAGGATGAACAACAGAAGAAGAAGAAAACAGGGAACAAGTCAGGACCTTGACACAGAGGACCTCTGAAAGGCTCTGCCCTGCAGACTATCAAAGCAGATGCTGAGACTCATGGCCAACCTTTGAGGAGATTGCAGAGAATCTTATGAAAGAAGTGGGAGTTAGTAAGACCTGGAGGGGACAGGTGCTCCACAAGGAGAGCAACAGATCTTAAAAATCTGGGTCTTCCCTGAGACTGATAGTCCAACCAAGTAGCATGCATGGAGATAACCTAGAACCCCTGCATAGATGTAGACCATGACAGTTCAGTCTCCTAGTGGGTTCCATCGTAATGGGAACAGGGGCTGTCTCTGACATGAACTGATTGGCCTGCTCTTTGATCACCTCTCCCTGAGGGGGGAGCAGCCTTACCAGGCCACAAAAGAAGACAATGCAGCCACTCCTGATGAGACCTAAAAGCCTAGGATCAGAAGGAAGGAAAAGAAGATCTCCCCTACCAGTGGACTTCTGGAGGGGCATGTGTGGAGAAGGAGGAGGAAAGAAGGGATTGGGAGAGTAGGAGGGAGGGAACTACAGGGGGGATACAAAGTAAATTAAGTGTAATTAATAAAAAAATTAAAATTAAAAAAAGTAGAAAGAAAATGAAACTCTTTATTCAAAGAGTTTGTGTATAAGTCTCTCACCAAGTTGACATGGCATCTTAAATATAGCCATTGGATGCAAACAAAAGGACTTACTTTTAAATTTTTATGTGTTTTTCCTTCATTTATGTCTGTGTATCATCTGCATGCCTGGTGCCTGTAGAATCCAGAAGAGAGTGTCAGGTTCCCTGGAAATGTTGCTGGAAATCAATCCTGGGTCCTCAGGGAGAGCAACAAGAGCTTGTGACTTCTGAGCCATGTTTTTAACCACCTTTTTATAAATTTAATTTTATTTTTTTCTTATCAGTTACATTTTATTAACTCTGTATCCCAGGAGTGTCCCGCTCCCTCATTCCCTCCCTATCCCACCCTCCCTCCCTCATCTCCACCGTGCCCCTTTCCAAGTCCACTGATGGGGGGGACCTCCTCCCCATTCATCCGATCCTGTTTTATCAGGTATCTTCAGGACTGGCTGCGAACGCCTTTTTGTTTTGTCTGTTTTTAAAAGGTATAATCTAGGTTCAATGAGATGGATGAGTCAGTAAAGGCATTTGCTACCAAGCCTAAAGACCTGGAGTTCAGTCATTGGACCCACCTGGTGGCAGTGGAGAGCTGACTCTTAAACATTGCTCTCCGTCACCCACATGTACACTGTGGCAGCATAGTCCCTCTCCAAATAAAGGTAATACAGAAATACAAAAGATTGAGCTGGGAGGTGGTGCCTTTAATCCCAGCACTTGGGAGGCAGAGGCATGCAGATCTCTGAGTTGGAGGCCAGCCTGGTTCTACAGGGTGAGGTTCAGGACAGTCTGGGTTACACAGGGAAACCCTGTCTTGAAAAACAAGCAAGCAAGCAAGCAAACAAACAAACACAAAAAGAAATACAAACGATATAATTTAATGTATTTATAAAAAGCAAACTATAATTTTTTATTTAATATATGAAAGCGAAATCACTAAAATACTTTGCATTATCCGTGTTTCTTATTTTAGTGTTTCTCATTTAAAATTTTTGTTCATTTTTATTTGTCCTAAAATTAGCATACAAAAAATGATAGTTTTCATGATAGTTTTTCTGTGAATATTTTATATTTATTTATCCAAAAGTTTTATATTCCAACAAGCTGGAAAACCTAGAAGAAAGACAATTTTCTAAATGCATATGACCTATTAAAATTAAATCTACAAAATAGAAACAATTTAAACAGATTTATAATAAGCAATGAGATTGAAATTATAAGTCTCTCTCCAAAAAGAGCCCATGGCTCAACAGACTCACTGTTGAATACCATGACACTTTTAAAAGAAAATCTAACCAATACTTCTCAAAACCTTCCACCAATTACAAGCAGAATGCATACTACCAAAGTCAATCTTTGAAATCTGTTTTGGCCTGATGTCAAATTCTGAGATATGACCAAGAAATAAAAGTACAGATCAATTTCCATGATGACAACGAATATAAAAATTATTGACAAAATATTTACAAATCGAATCAAAGACCCTTTAAGAATTTTATCAAAATTACTTCATCGTTTTGAATTCATAGCAACAGGGAGGTCTCATCACAAGGATCCTAACTGCCAACTGATAAAGAGCAACATGACTCTAATAAAAAGGTCAAATCTTTCACTGATTCTTTTGAGCTTCAACTTTAAGCAGAAACCCAGTGTAGGAATGGCTTTTTAGGTTGAACTGGGTGGACCATAGTACAGATTATCTTCTTGATAATATGTCCAGGGACATCCTGGCATTTGTCATGCCAGCAGGATTCACTGTATCTTTTAAGTTCACTGAGTGACTTTCAGAGTTGTGTGTTCCCTAGCAAATATAATTTAAGAATATATCAATTTGACTTCCGACTACATGCTGTGGTGGATGGACATTGTTTGTGCCATATGCAATTGTCATATCCCAGGCATCAATGACACCCACATTGAGATCCTGGAAAATATCCTTTAAGGCAAGATACTGGGTGTAACCGTGGAAGTCACTAAATCTTTCCACATCACTGCTCAACTCCCTGATGTTTTCTGTTTTGAGGACAACCATAGTATCTGGGCTTCTCAGAAGAAGACGCTGAAGAGCTCTGTGAACATTGACAGCCCTTCGGATGAAAACATCAATGGGAAAAGGTCTGAAATGCTGGCCCAGAGAAATGACGATGACTGTGTTTTTCTCTCCTCCAGTTCTGTCAATTATCCGTGCAATGTTCTCTATTTCTTTAACAGAGTAGACCAATGATCCAATAAGGGGGTAACCATGTTTTTGCCACTGGATGTTGATTTTCTCATCCAAGTCCACAGCAAGTTGGTGTTTCAGTTTTCCAATCTCATGCAGATCTACAGACCTCAGTGCTGACAGCAAACAGGCAATCCCAAAACAAAAGGAGAATACAGTTACAAAGATCAACTAGCCATAAATACAGGAGGAAAAAAGATCTGGTGTTTAGAATCCTATAAATCAATCATATCTGACTAAGGAGTAGTTTTGAAAATTACTCTAAGAATCCAAAGACTTTCATGATAATGCACTTTGCCCTTCTACCATCATTCAGATTGAATTGTTCAGGGCATGGCTTTGGCATTTAACTCAGCTTCACTGGAAGATGAGGTTCACAGCTGTGTACCTGCTGCTGTGCAAGACTTGTTAACTTTTCCCTGACCTTATCTGAGGATAGATAGGGAAGGCTATTGATATGAGCAAAAAGAATCCAAGTACATCTTTGAAACGGCTTTATGAATCTAAGACTTTATTCTGTGTTCTTCTTTCCCTGTCAATGGAATAGCACCAAGTATCTCATCTACACAAGTGACAGGAAAATGATCACTTATTTGTGGCCCTTTACAGAGCATTTATATAGGCAGATACAGCCACTCCCCTCCATGATATTCACATGTATCTATATCCATCTACCTATATATCTATGTATTTGACATGTTATAGTAAAGACAAGATGCCAAGTTGTTCAAGATTATGGTTTGTGACCAAAAGAGCAATTAAAATCCTCCCACCCCCTAATTCAGACAGCTCTGAAAATAAGAAAGTGAGCACAAGGTGAACAGGACAAGAAAAAGTCCCACCATGTTTCATTGTGCCAACTAGAGCCTTATCAGAACAGCAAGGTGAGCTGTTTTGCTGCTACAGCTTCTGAGATAATATGTAGTGCGAGACCACAGTGCCATGTCTGAGCTCTGTCTTAGCAGGGAAGGGCAAGGCTGGAAGACTTAAGCCAGTGAGTGAGGTTGCAAAACACACATGCTGGTAGAACTAGTCTATCCATTGCTTCCAACTAACTTCAGTTCTTTTTTCCAAAGCATACTCTGGCTACAGAATTTAATGTTTCACAAGAGATGCCTTCCCATTATCACTTACATGCTGAGGAGGAAGTCCACTCACAACCTCAGAATGCTGAATTTATATAAAGAAAAAAAAACTACAGTATCAAACTATGTGATAGTAAAGGATGTCACTAGAATCTTGAATTTGCAGCTGAGAGAAACAAAGTAATTGTTTACCAGAAATCATTATCTAATCTGTCCTCTGTGTTGGGAGTCCTTCTGTAATTTAGAGCCTAGTCCCAACAACTTCACCTTTCCATCGAGAGGATCAGTTTTTTAGAATTGGAGACCACAAGACTGGCCTCATATTAAGTCATAAGCTCAACCTTGTCTTTAGTGACAAGAGCCAGGGCCAGAGGATATAGAATGGCTGGAAGTGATGGTTTAATACGCAGTTTAGCTCAGATGGACCACTATATTCTGACTTAGTACTGGTGTATTCTTGACTTAGTAAACACAGCGTTGAAACTAGGGTTCTCAGTACTGGAGTCCAGCCCCAACTCTGATACTAACTGGTGGTAACAGTTCCAATTGCTGTTGCTCTCTGGCTACTTCCTATGTGTTAGTGTGCCTGGCAGTGTGTTAAATAATCTCTCTCCACTATCTTATTTCATCGAAAACAGGAGGGACAATGAACATTGTTCTAGGGAATGATAGGAACATTTCGTGACTAATGCTGGTGGTTCGTGATTAAGACCTATGGCAAAGAGGAGGCATCTCTTTTTTCCCCTTGAAATGAAAACATAGTTCCTGAAGGAGATGTGAATAAGTTATACTGAAACATACTGTTGACTATGCTTTTGAAGTAGTCCATCCACTGGCGGAGTGTGGAGTCACCCATTAAATGGATGAATTTTCCTCGCAGGCAGTCTTTGATTTTGATGGGAGCCAAACTGCAGGAGGCCGGATTCCAGGTGTTCTTCCAGACATACCCACTAGGGGTTACAGATGCCATCCCGAACTTGCATTTCTCTTTCATTGGAGCCGCTTCTGCCAAGGAATCAGCAAGACAGGATTTTCTAAAACAACACTCTATTCATCCCTGATTAGTAAGTGCCTTCCATATTTTTTTTAAAAAACCCTTTGAGAGGTGTGTAGGTGGCGGTGACAGTAAAAGAGCTTACTAAAGTATTTTCCATAATAGAATATTTATTTTCAGTAAAGCTTTCCTCTGGTGTGGGTCTTTTCAGTGATACCTATTAGTGTTTATTATGAAAATACATGGGGTTATTTCCCCCTCAGAATAAAAAAAGGCCTTCAAGTAAAATTTAAGTATTTGTTAGCTTTGTCATGTATAGGATGAGAACATCCTATCCCACCCTTTTAGCCCATTTTGCTTCTGAGCTTTCCACATGTTCTCACAGTGCCTTAGTCATCACCACAAAACTATGAACTCTGAGATGAAGGCAGGATGAACCTGACTTGGAAAGTGGCCAAGCTGCATTGATAATAGCTGTGTACCAGAGAGAAGCCTGGAGGTCCAGGAAGACCCAGATCTTCAACCTCAGTCTCTTGGTAATGAAGAGACTGACTGGTGGGCTACCATGGTGAGGCAGCAGGGTCAGGTCCCAATTATTCATTGCTGCAAAAGATTGAAGTGGTATTTTAACAGCTTCTCTCTCCCTCTTCCTCTGTACTTCTGTCTGTGTATGTCTTTGAGACAAGGTCTAATGTAGCCTAGGCTTGCCTTCTGCTTGCTGTGTAGCCAGGGATGGCCTTGAGTGCATCATCTTCCTGCCTCCACTTCCAGAGTCTGGAAATTATGGGTGAGTCTTATGTGATGCTGGGGGGGGGGGTGGAGCCTTGGTTTTTCGTGAGTGCTGGGTAAAGCACTGCATATCACTTCTGCAACCAGAAACACATTTTCCCTCAATGTGGAAAACTCTCTTAGCAATTAGCAAGCTTGTCATGATCAATCTAGAGAGACAATGATACTGATGCCTTAAATCAGTTTAGGTGGGGTTTGTAAACTCTTCATCGGGGGAAAAAAGTAAGAAAAGTAGTGAATATACATGTGGATGTTCTTTGTATTATAAAAAACAAAACTGTGAAGAACCAGGAGAGAAGAATGGCGGCAGAAAATTGACTCCTGGATGGTGCATTGGAGACATCTAAGTGCTAACTCTAGGGAGAAATGAAGACAGTAGGAAAGGATGGGGTGGGCTGGGAAGGATAAAGAACCAGCTAAAACTTGGGAGGGAGTTTTACCCTTTGAAGGTTCTTGTGTTAGATGCATAGGTGACCATCTATCTGATGAGTAGGTTTTGGAGAGGCGTGTTACAACCTAGCGGTTATGACCATTTATTCACTTATAGACTTTGCCCCTTGGGCCACTTTGTAAGAACTGAGATAGTGACCAAGACCAACAGAAATAGAAGGACCTCTAAATGGGTCCAGTGTTTAACATCGCCCACCAGCACAGAACCACTTACTGTTGCATTTGGAGACACTAATCACATTGGATTTTCCCATAATCTCCACACCTATATTTGACCTTAAAGAGACAAATACAGAAATTAAACTGCAGTGACCTCAACTCAGGCAAAGTTTCAGAACCCAGATTGGTCAGTTCGTCTGTTAGTTCTTGGTGATAACCCAACTTCCCTGTCTAGAATTTCAGAGAATTTATTTGTTTTTAGCCCACAGGAGACAGGGACTCAAAGTATGTATTCAATACAGTGTATTGAGACACAGAATATATTAGAACACACATAGATATTTCTCATTCTTTTCATTTATACTCAACCCATGTTTGAGGCTCATTGATAAGGATTTCCTATCCTAAAATTCTGAGGACTCTTGGAGAATGAATACTATCCCCAAATGAATTCCTAGTTCCCTATTAAAGGGCTTTTTGAGTCCCTAAGTTAATGTACTTCCCTGCAGGCTAAATTACCATTTTCCCCCTCATTAATGTGAAATGATCATTATTTACCTTACAAAGAGGCTCTTCTCCTGCTGGCTAAGATAGGAAACATCCTTGTTCTTCGAGTGCATGTGGGTAAGGGCAGCACAGGGAACATCTGGAGGCTTCACACAGTAGAAAGCTTCTTGGTCCTGGGCATCCAGGTATTGGCACAGCTTGACACTTGAGTTTAGGATCAGGGCACATTCAGTGTGGACCTGAGAGGCACCATTGACAAACTGGCCAGTGAAGGTAACTCTATCATAGCCTTGGTTCCTTGCTCTCCAGAGAGCTGACACTCCTTCACTGGGGTGTATGAGAAGGACAGACAGGGAGACCTGGCCCTCCCAGAACAGAGTGAAACTGATGAGGTAGGTGCCATTGTTGAAGTCTGTCACCTTTCCGGAGGCGCCTGCCTTCTGGGCTGGGGAGGACATCCTGGTTCTCAGGAAGTCCCCACCATATTCCTTTCTGCGTCCCAGGTAATCCCTAGCCTCCAGCAGCACATGCAGCTGGTCCCCCACGCAGTACTTGTCTCGAGGCTTGAGGATGGTGGCTATGCTGTGTGTGGCGCTGGTGGTGGTGTTGAGGTGGGGGAAGGGCCTGGGAGGAATCTGCTTGTCTAGTTTCTCTAGGACTTCCTTGACTCTCAGCTCTGTCTCTTTTGGTGAAACTGGTGGGTTCAGAGGCACTGTAGGGCATGAGGAGTTCATGACCGAGTTCCAGCGATTGAAGGACACAGGCAACTTGAACGTCACCCACAACTGAGTGGGCAAGAAATAGGATAGAAAACAAAAGAAAAGTTGTGACTTAATGTGAGTTCTGGCAGGTTAACCAACTTTTGTCTTTTATATATGAGAGGTATAGAAATCATATACCACTAAGATCTTGTGATCATATATGTTTCACACACAGGCAGCTTGGTTTAGAAACTGTCTGAGCTACTCTGGTTTCCAATGGCTTATTTTGGAGAACCCACTCAACGCCAAATAGCCTGAGCTAGGATCTTCTTCAAAATGGTGGTGATGTGTGGGGGTGGAGAGATTTCTGAGCAGTGATTGCTGCTGCTAAAGAGAACCAAATTTCAGTTCCTAGTGGCAACTACTTATTGGAGCTGTCTCTATTATTTGAAAAGGTATTTTAAATATTCCAACATGTCAAATAAGGTATAATAAGACAGATCATTGCCATCAATCATTAATTAGAATTTTCAGTAAAGGCAAAGTAGTTTGCATGAACCCAAATCTTGTGTAGATAATAAAAAATTGCGAACAAAATTCTACAAACAAACACATAAAAGCAAGTAGGAACCACTACCAAAAGCCTCACTCCAAAGGAGAGAAGCAACCAATGAAATAGAGAAAACAAACATCAGCAACAACAAAGCCAACAGCAGCAAAGTGAAACATAAACCTTAAAAGCTTTGAGGTTGGAAACAACACTAATCGTTTGAATAGATATTTAGACAGCCTGGTACTGGAGTAGGGAAATGTTTCTCATTCACAATTAACCACAATTTTTAAGAGGCAGGTCTATTTCAGTACATAGAAATGAATATATTATTTCCTACACAGGCTTCTTTAAAACAGGTACAAACATAGGCTGTGCATAATGTGAAATAATAGCATCATTCACGTGCAAGCAGCATAGGATGGTATGTGGAAGCACACACATGAATGGCTGCCGTAAACACACACACACACACACACACACACACACACACACACACACACAGAGAGAGAGAGAGAGAGAGAGAGAGAGAGAGAGAGAGAGAGAGAAATAGCTGCCTTATAAAGCTTTCAGTCCCTCATGATGTCCTATCTGCAGGAAGTACCTTCTGCCCTGGATCCCAGCTTACACATGAAGAGTTGGGCCCTTTCCTCACACATTGCTGTATTTAACAGTAGTCAGCTACATTGGTTCATTAATGTTGCTTGGGAAGCCACCGAACACACCCCCATCTCCATTGCAACCAGCAGGTCTTTGACTTATGCTTTCCTAGATGCACAAGAGGAAGTAAAACAGAAAACGAGTTCAGTTCCTACCTCTGGAGGGTTTCTGAAAACTGTAAAGGAGACCAAGAAGATCACTATAAACAGCAGCACCCACAGTGAGTTACGACTGGCCATCATTTTCATGATTAGAACCCTAGAAGACAATCACAGAAGCCCATCACAAAAAGAAGCATAAAGGAAACCA